GAGCCCAGCAGCTTTCAGACAGCCCCTGACACATGCATAAAGCACCTAACTCCTAAAAACGCTGTTTAACAACTTAGCTGGCGCCATCGATGCGGCCCATGCAAACCTGTAACGTCGTAGCCTACTCTGAAAAGCGTTGAGGTTAAAGGAGTATGCTCGAGCTCCCAGCCTGCTCCTGCGGCCCCCCAGGCTCTGCTGCTTCGGGGGAAACAAAGCAGAAAGGCAGTGAGAACTGGCTGCCAGGAAGCAAGTGCTTGGGTTCAGAACTTAGGCCCTTAGTCCTAAGAAGTGATCTCGAAACTTAAGTTCAAAGCCCCAGGATCAAATAATTAGGTTTAGGGCTCAGGCTCACTGCCCAGGAAGTGATTTCCTATCTATGGCCCCTTACCCCCAGGAAATGATAGCTAAGACCCTCACTGCCCCAGGAAGTGATTTCCTAGATAAGGCCAATTGCCCAGGAAGAGATTTTTCCCATCTTGAGGCCCATGGGCCTGATGGCAACAACTCACTTAAGGGCCCAACCTGTCCCCTCAGGGTTCCTCCCTACTGCCCTTGAGCAGGGAAGGCAGGGAGTCAGCAGGAAGTGGGAAATGCTGGGAGGTGCGCACATTCTCTTACTTCACAGAGCAGCCCTTTATGCAGCCTGGACGATTCTCAGGGCCCTGGAGAATGAAGATCATTTACCTGGAGGAGACTTAGAGGCTTCGGAACTGAGCTGGGCCCCGTTCATACCAGAGTCCCCATTCTCTGACGACATTTTCTATGCAAATTACAGACAGTGCCCAATTACTCATGTGGGAAGCCGACAATGCTCACACAACCCCGGGAGACAGGAGCCACCCACAACCCCTTTTCACAGACGAGCCGCTGAAGCCCAGAGAGGCTGAGTTACTTGCCCAAGGTCCCACAGCTGCTAATTTGGGAATGGGCACTGGGGCCCAAGTCTGGCTGGCTCCGATGCCTGTGGTTTTAATCACTGTTATGCCACTTCAGAGGTGCTCCAAGAGAGATGATGCCCACAACCGATCAGGCTTCAAGTGTCAGCAGGATACACAGTGACAATAAAAAATATTTTGTGCCAGCCGGGTGCCGTGGTTCACACCTGTAATCCCAGCGCTTTGGGAGGCCGACGCAGGTGGATCATGAGGTCAGGAGATAGAGACCATCCTGGCTAACATGGTGAAACCCCGCCTCTACTAAAATACAAAAAATTAGCTGGGCGAGGTGGCGGGCGCCTGTAGTCCCAGCTACTCGGGAGGCTGAGGCAGGAGAATGGCGTGAACCCGGGAGGTGGAGCTTGCAGTGAGCCGAGATCATGCCACTGCACTCCAGCCTGGGCGACAGAGCGAGACTCAGTCGCAAAAAAAAAAAAAAAAAGTATTTTGTACTGCTAATGAGGTAGGAGGTGGGACTTTGGCTGAAACAGGGAAGAGGCAAAAACACCTCTCCATAAGACATGCCCACAGTGCCATGACAGTTTACCATTGCCATGGCAATACCTGGAAATTACTGCCCCTTTTCTAGAAATTTCTGAATAACTCACTCTTTAATTTGCATTTAATTAAAAGGCAGAACTGCTCCTGAGCTGCTGCTCTGGACACACTGCCTACGAGCTGGCCCTGCCCCTGAGCTGCTGCTCTGCATACACTGCCTATAGGGCGGCCCTGCTCTGCAGCAGCAGTCACGCTACTGTATCACGGCCGCCTCCATAAAATTGTTTTCTTCTACCACCAGCTCACTCTTGAATTCTTTCCTGAGTGAAACCAAAAGCTTCCATAGCTAATACCCAGTTTTGGGGCTTGCCTGCCCTGCACTGATAACAATTATATAGGAAGAACCTAGGCTTTCAGGCTCACCCAAGGACACACAGTGGCAACAGGCATATACGCAGTGGCATGCATGGGAGGTGAAGACCTACATGCAATGTAGGGACATAGTGGAAGGCAGGGAGACATATGTGTGCAAGCCAATGCACTCTAAATACACACACACCAACAAACACACAACACACACCCCCACACACCCCAACACACACAAACACCAACACATACACACACACCAACACACACACCCCAAAACACACACACCAACACACACCCCCAACACACATACCCCAACACACATGCACACATACCCCAACATACACATCAACACTGAGACACCAACACACACCAACACACACATCAACATGTACACCCAAACACACATCAACACACCCCAACACACAGACCAACACACACACACACACATATTCCAACACACACACCAAAGCACACACACCAACACACATCAACACACCCCAACACACAGACCAACACACACACACTAACACACACATATTCCAACACACACACCAACACACATCAACACACACACCAACACACATACCAACACCCACACACCAACACACACACACATACACATACCAACACAGCCCTTCAGCAGGATCACTGCATCTCTCAGGCTGTCGTGGCAGCACAGAGATCCCAGTCAGACAGGGCCTGCAATGACCCATATGCCACTTACCGCTGAATTGAAGACCCCGAAGACATCCCTGACATCTCTGGCAGGTGTCTTGTGTTGTCTTCGCACTGAGCGAGCATAGAGGTCCAGCCGGCGGCACACAGCGGCCACCTGGGTCTGTGTCAGGGTGGACAGGAGCTCCTTGTGATCGCTGTCCAAGCCAAGGCCACCAAGGAGGCCCGACAGGCCTGTGTCATGCAGCCACTGGGATTCAGCTTCCCCTTCTGCCAATGGAAGTAGAACCCAGATGAACACACACAGCTCTGCACTCAGCCACACATGGTAACCACAGTTCTGCATAGAAGCACACACTCACCTGGACACAGGAGTTTCTGCATATCTGATCATGAGACCTATTAACACCAACCAGACTCTTTGGGGGAGAAGATCTAATGAGCCTTCTGAGAATTGGGGGCGGGGTAGGGGGTACTGATGGCATTAGTCAGTGTACGGATGTCAACCCATAACATAGCAATCCCTGGAAAACAGCTGGCTGAAGGGCCCTGCATGTTCTGATTTTGGACCCACTTCTCTCCAAAGTAATGAACCCACTTCTCCAAAATCTGGCAGAGACCACCACAGGGTCACACAGTGTCCCGTTGGGAAGTTGGTGCTGGGTGTTGATGTCCCTTTGGGAAGTCCTCCATATTCAAGACCTTATTTGTGTTGGAATTGTCCCCTCGGCTATGCTTCCTAAGGAAACTGTCATAGTCCCATAGCAAAACCATCAGTTGGAATGGGAGGGTGTGTTAAGACTTCAGGATCTCGGGTCCTACCTCCAGGGATTCTGCTCCAGGAGTTCAGGCCTCACGCCTGATAATCTGCACTTGGAATGTCTTCCTCAGATTATTCTAATGCAATAGGGTCTCCAGATCACACTTGAGAAACACTGGCCTTATGGGGGAAATGCACAAGAGCTCATACTGGAAGTTGAACACATGTGCGAGAAGATTGGTAGGGTGTATAGTTGTACCCAGTGTTGACCAAGTTAGTCAACAAAGTAATAATTGTTTTTAAAACTCAAACCAAACTGCTTTTATGGCAGCCTGGGTTTTGCAAATAATCCAAGTCTTCCCCCAACATTTTCCCTGCACTTGGGAACCAGAACAGATGCCTCCAGGGCAGCTGCAACGTTGTGGGTCCATTCCTGACTTGTGCTGGCTGGTGGAGGTACTGATTCTATCACAATACCAGACATTTTTTTGTTTGTACAGGATCCTTTCAATGAGCCACTGTGTCTTGAAATGTAGGCATTCACCTACCACCTTTATCATTTTCATCTCTATCTAATTATCCCTGTAAAATTCCTTACCAAATATATCCCCTTAATCTTGGGCTACATTTTTTACTTAAACAAATCTATTTTAAAAGGAAACAAGATCCCTACCATAAATGGAGCATCCAACATCACCTGCCATGAATAGACGTTGATGGGAAAAATAAGTTATTAACAATCCCACTGGTTCAAGTTGGTGTCTGAATAAAAAGAAAAGATGGCCGGGCACGGTGGCTCATGCCTGTAATCCCAGCACTTTGGAAGGCCAAGGTGGGCAGATCACCTGAGATCAGGAGTTCAAGACCAGCCTGGCCAACATGGCGAAACCCCATCTCTACTAAAAATACAAAAATTAGATGGGTGTGCTGGTAAATGCCAGTAGTCCCAATTACTTGAGGCAGGAGAATCGCTTAAACCCAGGAGGGAGGTGGAGGTTGCAGTGGGCCGAGATTGTACCACTGCACCCTAGCCTGGGTGACAGAGTGAAACTCTGTCTCAAAAATTAAACAAATAAAAAGAAAAGAAAGGAAACAAAACAAAACAAAACAAAAACAATCTTGGCTCGATGCCACTCAGGATCCCTCAGCCCTGTGAGTCTAAAACAGCTCCTGTGTTTGTTTAGTTGCTCAAAGTGGCTTCTCTCTGACCCTATCTGACTCCACTCCCTGTGTATTGTTGGAAATTAGATGCCAGAGAGGCCACATGGAGGACCTCTTATGCAGGGCATCTCCTGAAACCACTTCTAGTATAACCAGGGATTTTTTTACATTCACAGTTGGAGGCACTGCATGTGACTATTAGGCCCTTAAGAGGTCTGCATCACCGCATCGTCTGTTTTGCCAACCAGGGGCAAGCCCAGCTGAATTACATGCCAAACCAGGAAGGGTTCCATATGGAGCCCTTTCATTCCCTCATCTGCTGAACAGGTAAGGATGGAGGACGGGAATGTGCTTGGCTCTTTTCCAGGCACTGTGGACACAGCAGTGAAAAGGGCCGATGATGTCCCTGGCCTCATGGAAGTTACATTCTAGTGGGGGTCACAGGCACATACACAGTGAAGTGCACTAGGTAAAGTCAGGCAGTGATCATCGCTGTAGCAACGAATAGAGCAGGGCAGGAGCTAGAGAGTGATGGGGCAGAGGTGCTATTTTATGTAGGGAAGCTGCTGAAGACCTCTCTGAGGAGGTAACGTTTCAGCCCAGTCCTGACTGGAGAGAACAAGCCGTGCAGATGCCTGGGGCAAGAGCATTTTAGGCCAAGGGATCAGTGAGGACAAAGGACTTGAGGCAGGAAAGTGCTTTTAGGGTCAAGGCCCGAGGACAGAAGTAGAGTGACAGCAAGTCAGGGTGGGAGGAGAAGAGCCAGGGAGGAGGCCCGAAGTCAAGTATGTAAAGCCTGGTAAGTTATGATCTGGTGGCTTTATTACATGTCCCCAAATTCTTTGACTCTCACCCCATCAAGGGGTGGAGTCTAATTCCCCTCCTCTTGAACATAGCTGCATGCAGGATAACAGAATGCAGCAGAAGCAATGCTGTCTTTCTTCTAAAGCTGGGTCATAAGCAGCAAAACAGCTTCTACCCAGCTCTCTCTCTTGGTCTTGTGCTTGGAACCTAGCTGCCATGCTGTGAGGAAGCCCAGGCCACATGTGGAGCCCTCATGCAGATATTCCAGATGATAATCCCAGATGATACTCCCATATGAGGCCCCCTGAAGGTCACGTCCACCACCAGGCACATAGATGAGAAATCTTTTGAGATGACTCCAGCCCCAGCCACCATTTGATTGTAACTGCATAAGAGGCTCTGAGCAAGAACTGCCTAGCTGAGCCCACTCAACCCCTCCAACAGTGAAGTATAATAATAGTCATAATAATTGATTATTGTTGCATTATGCTGCTGAGCTTGAGGTGGTTTGTTACATAGTAGTAGATAATAGGGACACATAATTGTCTATTACTCTGAGATAGATGGAGAGATATTTGAGGATTTTGAGCAGAGGGCTTAGAATTTCCCTAGAACATTAGCTCTGTAGATAGGAGACTGTTTTATATTCACTGTTGTATCCCCAGTGCCTAAACAGTGTCTGGCACATAATACGGACTCAAAAAATATTTCCTGAAGGACTCACTCTAAGGAGGGACATAATCTAATTAACTTTACCAAAAGATCGTCTTGACTATGGCATGGAGAACAGACAGTCAGGAGCACGGGTGAAGCAGGCAGAGCAGTGAAGAGGATACTGCACCAGTCCAGGCAACAGAGAAAATGCTGTCATGTTCTGGTTCATATCTGGATCCTCTCACATTTCTCTGCCTGGAATCAAGCCCTCCCACCACCCCTACAGGCCCCCGCCGGGATCCCTCACCCTCTGGAAACTGGCCTTCATTCCCGCCACTGTCCTCTTCCCTCAGCTCATCTCTCTGTTGGATCCGTTCCACCTCCATCCAAAAGCCATCCATGCTGGAGCTCTCCGCCGAGGACAGCCGGGAGTGGGAACAGCCGGCAGGGCGTGGTTGCAGGGGATTCTTCTGGGGAAGCTGATTCATTCGGCCTGAGGAGGGGCCAGAGCTGTAGCAAGTGGGGAAGGTGCAGGGAGGTCAGCAAGTCTCTGCTCATGATGGGGGTTGTGCTGGGGCTTGTGGCTCTCCAGAAATCAGCCTGGGGCCCCTGGGGGCTAAGCAAGCTTCCCAGGCACATTTCTCAGGGTGATCTCAGCAAATCGACTGGTGACCCATCACCCCTGTGGGATCCTTGCAAACCAGCAATGCTGCAGGGGACAGAGCAGAGCCATACTGCTTTGCTTGCTTCCACCTTCTTGGTGAAGGCGAACCGTCTTGGACATACGTACAGTAAATGCAGCATTCCCGAGAGGGGATTAAACACCAAGACAGGCGAGGAAATGACAGGGCAGTGTCTCACGGATCTCACCGAATTTTTACCCAGAGAGTCTCGTATCTCCTTCCCTCACACCTCCTCCTTTGTGAGTCTGGCTGCCAAGCCCTGGTTTTCCTGTTTGTATCACAGGGCACCTCATCTCCTCCCCTCTCCCAGCCAGCTTTGAACAGAGCAAGTACCCGATCACAGAGGCACTATACATCACGGAGCTAGTCTCATTCTCTCAAGGTGTTGAACCAAGGGCAGAGGGGTCAGTATCAGGCACGTGAACTGGAAGCCGTGTGGGGCTGGAGGGACTGGAGTGGCCTGTCTTCCAAGAGAAGCTGAGAGGAGACCCTCTGCAGCCATGGAGGGATGTGGGGTAACCTAAGCTTGATTTTCCAGGTCCCACTTGCAGCTTCTCATGATCCAGGCTATGTGGTTTACCCTATAGCCCCCATTCCCACATCCTTCGCTTTAATGCCCCTCTTCTTCCCAAGCTACGATCAATGAATTTCTGCTTCATGCAATCAACGAATCTCAGAGTAAGACAGTGCAAGTCTCCTGGTCCCTATAAATGAAGTCCAGGACTTCAGATGAGCTTAGGGACAAAATGCCTCTGTTGCTGGCCCAAATCCTTGAGAAACGGTGGGGCTGGTCATAATGGCAAAAATACTACACTGGAGTCATCTGGACCCTGACACGGGCCAGCAAATAGACCATAAACTACCCCTGCCAGAAGAGAGGGAAGAAATCCATTTCCCCAGTTTCCTTAAGTGGGAAAAGTGTATATTCTGCAAGTTCTATAGATATTTAAGCTCCCATGTGGAAACAAACAAAAGGCAAAGAAAACCAATAAACATAGGTGGTTTGAACTGTCCTTTTAAAAAAACAAGACTCATTTGGATTAAAAAGGAAAAGTCATCCACATGCTGCTTTTTTAAAAAATACATACATATATGCTGTTCTGGGTTTTTTGTTTGTTTGTTTGTTTTTGTCTTTTGAGACAAGGTCTCGTTCTATGGCCCAGGCTGGAGTGCAGTGGCGCGATATGACTCATGGCAACCTCCGCCTCCCAGGCTCAAGCCATCCGCCTACCTCAAGACTCTTGAGTAGCTGGGACTACAGACACACACAACCATGCCTGGCTAATTTTTGCATTTTTTGTAGAGACAGGATTTTTGCCATGTCACCCAGGCTGTTCTCGAACTCCTGGGCTCAAGCAATCCGCCTCCCTTGGCCTCCTAAAGTACTGGGATTACAGGAATGAGCCAGTGAGCCCGGCCTTAAAACAGATTTTTGTTAGCTATATTTTCCATTATAAAATCAATATGCAGTTATTGTAAAAATTCCCAGCAATGCAGAAGTGAGCAAAGTAGAAAATGAATCATTCTCCTGCGACTGCGACCACATTTTCCGTGCTAACACCTTGGTGTGCAGACATCTCATATTTCTCCCCTGGCATATTTAACCTAAAGGCAGGCACTCTCTTCTTCACTCAGGGGACATTGTTTTGGGCTCATGTCAGCCAAGACCCAGAACTCAAGTCCTCCACCAGCCCCACAACAGTCCCATGCACGCTAAGCATTTGATAGCTCTTTACTGAGGAGCTGGATGCTCACAGGCGGGTCCCCCACACAGTGCGTTTACTTGAAATACCCCCATCTCCTTTTGATGGAAGTTTGGGTTGTATCTATTCATCAATATCACAAACAATACCATCTGTTACCTTTGCTCCTTTGTACAGTAGAAGAGAATCCTAGAAGCAGAATTGCTGAATCAGAAGGTTTGTGAACTCTTGCCGCATGACCTCTAAAAAAGGACTATTTTATTGGATGTTTGTTTGTTTCGACTTTACGTCTGCTGCCTGCTTAGCCCCCTCTTGTGGGATCCCAACCCCTGGAGTCCCTGAAGGCGTATTTTGCCCTCAGCCTATGACTTCACTCACTGTTGTCCCGTCCGTTTCTGGTGGTGTAATCTAGGACCTAGGGCTGGCTCCATGGATGTGCGACCAGTGCAGTCACACAGGGCCCAGGTTCGGAAGCAGCCCACACTTGGTTCAGAGCTCTGCTGTCACCATCTCAAAATTCTTAACAATGTTTGAATGAGGGACCCATGTTCTTTCTGCCCATGGCCTGTCCTGCCAGGATTTTACCATAGACCCTGGCTTGTGGCTTCCTCCCAGGCAGCCTGCCCACACAGAGCTCAACTCCGAGTCCTAAACAATTCCATCCTGAAACAGACTCAAAATGTGGTAAAGCAAAGAAACCTCCAGTCGGCCAGAGCCTGAAGGAAGGGACATGGCGCAACCTCCTGGCAACAGCTCCAGCATTTGCACAGAGCAGAAGCTTCACTGGAGACCAAGTCCCAGTTAATTATAAAATTGGCTGTTCCGCTCTATTTATGCTTTTTGAGAAAACTACTAGTCAGTGCCTCCTGCGAATCTGTTTGGCACCCCATGCTGGGGGCACAGCTCCGTTTCCTTGGTTGCTTTGCTATTCACTTTGAAATTACCGACATCTGTGTGTTTTCGTGACAATTTGAAAACTGCAGCGACTAAACCCAAGCAAGATTGTCAACACTGTCACCATTTGATAGCTAAGCAGTGAGGGGGCAGCAATTATTTCTTTGGAAGAACATTCTGAGGAGGTCAGAGAGGGGCACAGGAAAGAACAGAAACAAAATGAAACACCCACAGTGCTAAAGGTGTCATTGTTCCAACATTGCATTTTGCAGCGTGGCGGTGAGTACCCCTCTTCTAGGAAGAGAACGATAGGAAGAGAACACATCCACAAAAGGTGTTCAGAGCCTCACAAATACAGCCGATGCTTTGTTTTGTTTCCAGCGCTTCGTTGAGGTATAGCGCATGCAGAAAAGTACGCAGGTCCTAAATATACAGCGCGGCCTCCAGTTGTAATTTGGTTTTTTAAACCTTTACCGAGTACTTACTACACACCCAGAGGCAAACATGTTCAAGCATCAGTTTATTTCTTTTTTTTTGAAAAAGGTCTTGCTCTGTCTCAAGTGCAATGGCATGATCATAGCTCACTGCTGCCTCAAAGTCTTGGGCTCAAGCAATGCTCCCACCTCAGCCCCCCTAGTAGCTAGAATTATAGGCACATGCCACCATGCCTAGCTAATTTTTGATTTTCGGTAGAGACGAGGTCTTGCTATGCTGCTCAGGCTGCCCTCAAATGCCTTGACTCCAGTGATCCTCCCAAAGTGCTGGGAGTCCACATGTAAGCCATCAAGCCTGGCCAAGCCTCAGTTTAATACATCAGTCCCATGTGGGGGTGCTATTGTCTCCAAATTACCGACAAGGAAACAGACACAACAGGATTGGGGGACTCACCCAGACTTATCCCATTGGCAAGTGGCAAAACTCAGATTTGAACCCAGGTTGCAAGGCCCAGTGCCAGGGCACTTCACTGCCATACTAGATGATTTAGGGAGGCCCCAGGTGTAAATGAAATAATCTAAATGCATTTTTTCTTCCCCACTCTAGACACGGTGCCCCTCTCAGATTTCCCTGTCTCATCAAATGGTTCCATCAAGCGCTCTGAGAGCCACTCCTCACACCCTTTTTGGTGTCTCCACATTCCATGAACCTCTAATGAATTTTACCTTTCATACAACTCTTCTATCCACTAACTTCTGAACCACCACTCTGGCCCAAGCCACCATCACTTCTCGCCTGAACCACAGCCTCATCGAAGTCTTCCTATGTTTCTTCTATATATCCTTCTCTGGTTCAGAAAGATCTTCCAAGCTCCCAGAACTGGCCTTTCACTGCATCGAGGAATCCTCATGGTATCCCAGGACACTGAGGATAAAATCCAAATGCCTTACAAAGGCATTGGGCTGACCTGCCTATGCTTCTAGCCTCGTCTCACATACCTCCTTCTTCCCTCTGCCTGGAATGTCCCTCCCTTGTCTGCTAACTACCCTTCAGGTCTCAGACTCAAAGTCACTTCCTCAAACACAACTTTTCTCATCCCTAACCTGGATTAGGTCTCTGCTCTTTGCTTTTCTATAACACATTCATTTCTATTGGAACTATTTATTTCTTGGCTTCTCTATTCCCTGCTGTCTTCCCAGTGCCTAGAACACTGCCTGGAATATCGTAGTTGTAGCGGATACCATGTATGGCCCAACATTCTTTCACAGTTCTCCCATGGGGAGGTGGGGCCTGTGTCTCCTCCCCTTGAATCTGTCAGGCTGTGACAGCTTCAGCTAAGAGAACACAGCAGAGGTCAAGTGATGAGACTTCTCCGTCTGGTCATAGTGACCAAGCTGATCCCACCTGCCTCTCTCACTCTCTGCTTGCTCCTTGGAACGGGTTGCTACATTGAGAAGCTCAGGCCAAGTGCCAGGTCACATGCAGGTGCCCCAGTCGACAGCCTGAGCCGAACCTCACCCTTGAATTGTTTTAGTGTAGGTGTCAGGCACATGAGTAGAGAAACTTCCAGACAGATGACTCCAGTCCCCAGCAAGAAGTCACCCCCAGCCGTTCAGTCTTCCCAGGTGACACCCCAGACATCACGGAGCAGAGGACAGGTACCCTTGCCCGCTCTGTCCCAATTCCTTACCCATCGAATCCCTGAGCAGAATAAAATGATGGTCGTTAGGTGCCACAAAGCAATAGATAAACTGATTTGTAAATTTAGAAGTCAAGAACTTTGGGCTGGGCGCGG